ATATTTCCTGTATTTCCCAGTGTGCTTTGTGACAACCTGTTGCACTTAATCAAACTAGAAGATTAAATACCATTAAGGCTACTTGTTTGACTTGACTATGTGAAATAGATATCATCTAACATTATGTAAATATGGCGCACTACTTCTCTTAACATGTTTACAGGCTGAGAGGTTTTAGTAATGATAACTGGCTCTACAGGCTGGTTATTCCTGGTTGTTTCATGGAATGTTCCTCTCATTAAATAGAGGATTCATTTAATTTAATTATAAGCATTTTAATCGATTTACAATGACCCCAATCTACTGTACGATCTTTAAAAACTCTGTTAGAATGACACTCCAGCCCTTTTCCTGGAGATTTTAATGCTTTATTTAGTGATGGAGGCAGTTTTGCCAAATAGTCACAAAATGTCCCTGTCTTTAAAATCCATGCTAGCTCTTAATGTAATATCCTGTGGTATAACTTCTAAATTCCTGCAGTGTTTAATGGTTATATTGCGGGTTGTTTCAAATAAACTTGCTGAAGTTTAATGCGCGCTCTTCGTGTTAATCAGTGAGATTCCAGAAAGATGCGAACAAACGGAACCGCATTTGTTTATTAAGTTTAGGAGATGAGAAAACGCATTTGGCACGAAAGAAACGACGAGTTTGAACATTTTCCACACAAAAGCCAAACGTTGAGACTAGCGGGAGTGTTTCCTGCTTGGTCAAAACATGAAGCCCCTTAAAAGAGGAGTCTACCTTGAGCTGTGATTTGGAGACTTTCCCGCTCTTGTCCACATCCAGCGCTGTAAACGCGTGCCATATGGACTTCAGAAGTTCGTCCCGCAGGGCCATAGTGGTGGAATTAAACGTGTCTTCTCTCTTGTTTCCCCTCTGGCTGTTTCTGGCTCGTGCTCTCGCGTTCACCGTTTGTCTCTGTTGGACACAGTGAGGCGCAGTCACATGACGCGCAGCCTGTCACTGAGCTGCGCGTTTGGCGTGAAGATGATGGAAGAGCAGCAGCACCGCTCAGCGAAGAAGGACACGCGCATCACAGGAGCTGTGTACGGAATCAAAAGGTGGCAGTATTTTTTTGTTTTGTTTTGTTAGAGGTTGTTGTCCAGGCTTCAGGTTTTGTACCAGGGCCACAGACGCGTAACAGGCCCCTACTTCAGCCATAGGTGCCAGATTTGCAACCACGTGATGTTAGTTTGTTGTGGTTGTTTTATGTCTCATTGTAGTTCGGCTATTTTGCGTTTTGTCTGTTTTACTTGTCGTGCATCTTTTTTGTAGTTATTTTGCATGTATTTTTACTTGTTTTGTATTTAATTAAAAGGTTTGCATTTCTTTGTAGTTTTCTGTTTTTGTCCCTTAGTGGTTTGTATCTGTTTAGCCATTTTGTATCTATTTTCTTTCATTTGATTTGAGTTTCTAGCAGAAGGGTTAAGGCTCTTGCTGGTTGTCTGCTCTCAGGGTCCTCTGGGGCCACCCAGTAATCCATCCATGGGAGAACTGTGGGCTCCATTAACTCAAAAGTTAACTGCATTTATAAAGCCTGTTAACACAGGTGAAATTTTAAAATGCTTTTTAGTGAAATCCATATAGTTTTTGCTTTAATAATCAAAGGACTCTGTAGTGTGTAAATGTCAAAAGTGACAAATATGGCACCATTATTCCTTGAAGCCCAAGTTTCAGACTAAGCAAAAACATTATTATGGAAGAAAAGTATGGAAAGATAGCAAATACATAAATGCTGACTGATGTCAGTGGATTTTTTGGGGCATTTTTGCTTAAAACAATCAGATATAAAATAGCACAATTATTTTATCATTGATCTAATTGATTAACTAGTGATTTCACAACACTGCCTGCATGGAGAAGGAAGGAGTGATGCGTTGTGGGGGTTGGCAGGGGCCCAAGAATAGGTCTGGCCCTGAGGCCCCCAGGAGGTTGAGCCTGATCCTGGGAAGATTTACAAATACTTTTAGTATAAATTGCTACAATAAGACCACATCCTACAGTTGAGTCAACACTGATTACATCCTTCACAAAGGTAGCGCTTTGTATAGGCGTATACCGGTACATCAGATTTAGCTGTAGGAGTGAGTTGTCATATAAACTTACTCCAGATAAAGTTGCTTATGCCAAATGACTGGTAAAACCTGGAAGAAACCAGTATCACGTGCACACTACTAAAACTCAAACACATTTACAGCATTTGTGAAGGTAAACTGTTTGACAATATCACACTGAAGAGAAAGTGAGAATTTAATAAAAAACATATGTACATGTCACAAAGGCTTGTGTTACAACAAAAACATGAGAATACCTTTCTAAACAGCCTCGTGGAGATGACAGGAGAAATATAGACATGAGAATCCAAACGACAAAATGATGATTGTTCTAATGCTACAAGCAGGGTTGGCAGCACCAGTCAACAAAATCACACCATGGATCAGTTCTAACATCACTGACAGCTTACTGGTTTCAGTACTTCAAAATAAACTGGATGCTTCTCCTCAAATGCCATGATCCATTGTCCATCCAGAAACATATATTAAACTGTAATAAACTGGGAGTGAGGGGGCACCTGATATCTGAAAATAAGAGCCAGTGATCTCTAGAAAAATCCAACCTGACACTGGCCGAACCCTGATACACACAAACATCAATAGCAGCAGGCTTTTCTTTTCTTTTCTTAAAAAAAAAAAATGCAGCAAGTTCCTTGTGTTGCCTCCAAAGTGCTCCATTACAAACACAGAAACCAGTTCTCAGACCCTCTGGTACGCAGCATCGGGCGTTTGACAGGCAGTAAGGTGCGCGTGGTGACGGCAGGTACATTCACACTGATGAGAGCAAGCTTCACTGAGGCTTTGTCGAGGGAAGTGCGAGGACAGAAACAGAGAGAGAGCCTGGCATCTATGCAAACTTAAAGAATGACCAAGGTAAAAGGTACAGAAACTACCTTTGAGAAATGAACTGAACTATGTTGGCAATAAGAGTCTGTCGAGATAAGTTCAAGTTGGCAACAGTCTACTGCTTTAACTCCACAACTGACAGGGAAATAGTTCAGTCAACAGTCTTTTGACTGTTGACTGAACAGATCTGATTAAAAGGTCCGTGAGCCTTCGTGTTCCACTTCCTGTCAGGGTGGATCAGCGTCTCAGTAGATGGTGAGGCTGACTGACCGATTCATCTTCTTTCCGATGAGTCTGGAGGTTCTGGGGTTGGACTGGACTGTGGAGCGGGTCAGGATCCTGTCTGTGGACAAAACCTTCTCCTCTGCTGCAGCTCGGGCCAGCTGAGCCTTCTTCAGCTCCCTGCGGAAGGCAAAGGCACACAGGTAACTATCAGCGAGCCCACAACGCTGGGTCAGTTTCTTTGGATTAAGGCTGCAGCTAATGGTCAAGTTCATGATCAATTAATATACTGATTTACATTTGATTGATTATATTTCTGCTTTCAATTATCTAATATCAAAGCTGTCTGTCTCAGCTGGAAATTAGACAGTACAAGAACAGCAGTGGATGACTTATTTCATCACAAAAGCCCTCTTAGCTGCAATAACTACTGAGGCCTGGACTTTTTCTGGGAGGCTGTGAACTCACTTCTGAAGTAGGGTGTTCTTGAACTTCTCCGCATTGAGCTCAACCCTGAGCTGCTCTGCACTCATTCTGGCAGCAGTGAGGAGCACGGGGTGTTTGATGAGGTCCGAGGTCGATGGTCTTCTGGTTGGGTCAGGGTGGATCATCAGCTGAAACACAAGGAACAAACAGCTGCTTAACAGGAGGCGCTAAGAAATACAAGAATGCACAAAGTCATCTCTCTATAGAAAATATTGCAGGGCTTCTACATATTAATGCAGTTTCATAAAGAACTATTCATTCTTAATTATTCCCTTATGAAAATCATCTGATAAAAAGCAGTGCTGGATCTCTCAACCAAAACGGGATTTATGTGCCTCAGAATAAAAAAAACAAAACACTTCAAACATCTTTAGGGCCTTAATGCAAAGCAATATAATGACAAAAAAAATTTATGAACATGCAGCGGTGACAAAACAAAGACCACAACAACTCCTCAAAACAAATCAACACAGCACTGACTGTTACCTTGAGGAGACTAAGAAACTCTGGAGAAAGCACTTGAGGGATGGGGGGGAGTTTTCCCTTTCGGATCTCGTGCCATTTGTCTCCATTGGTTGGAAGAGGCTCCGCCCCTGAGGCGCTGACAATAGTCAGAGCCAGAGCAAAGATGTCTGCCTTCATCAGGTTACTGTAGTCCTAAAGAGAAAACAACACTGGAAGTTAAAGACATTGTTTGAAGCTGGTTCAAAGTTCGAGCAGTTTCAGAGTAGGATTACATACCTCTTGTAAAACTTCGTTGGCCAAGTATCGGCTGTCGCCCTCTTCTACCTGTGGATTGATCACTCTTGTTACATGACCGAGATCACCTGAAGAAGGAAGCAGACAGAGCACAGATTTTACTGAGTATAAATGAAACGTTCATAAATTAAAATCTATTTATAAAGAAACCCACAAACCTTTCAAATGCAGTACATTGTAAATACCAGAACTGTGGAAGCATCTTACCGATTTTGTAGACAACGCTGGTGGTCACACCATCGTCCTCATCACACTCGTCACAGCTTGTTACAGATTTCCGTGAAATAAAGATGTTGCCTGGTAAAGACATCAACATCTCCATTAGTTACTGACCAGATTCATGTTAAGACCCTGATTCCAGGTTTCTGCGGGACTCACCAAGTAAGATTTTGCATACCTTTGTATTAATACAGGCCAAAAGGTTGCGTGATATCAATGTGAACAAGTAGGAATGACATGGCCTGGAATGATTTATGCACCTTTTCTCACCCAGTCCCAGCTGTACACAACAGTAATTCCTAATAACATCATTAAATAATCCTTTAACACAGGCTGGACTTGGATAAGCAGCAAAGAATCGATTGATAAAAGGATGGAAGGATTAGCCAATTAAAAAAAAAGAAAATTTATGTACATATGAATTTTACATAACAGATTCTACTCCACAAGACTTTCTGCTAATAAGGTCTTGTTCCTCCCTTAAAAATCTTACACAAATCTACTGACAATAACTGCTACTGCGATTACTGTAATCTGACATCCTTCAGTACTCACTGGGCTTGATGTCCATGTGCACCAGAGAAGTCGAGTGGATGTACTTGAGTCCTCGAGTGACTTGTAGCAGCAGATCTTTCAGCTCCAACTCTGACAGGTAGCTGAGCTGTCTGTAGTTCTCTGCGATGACATCGGATAGCGTGCCACCGTTGCAGTACTCGTTCTGGATGAGCATGTGGTCGTCCTCGGCCCAGGCTGAGTAGTAACGCACGACATGGGGATGCTGGCCCAGCACAGCATGGGCATACACTTCCCGTAAAGCATTCTGCCTGTGGAGGGGAAACACACAGGTTTAATTAAAGGCGGGCTTTGTTGTTGAATGATGAAATGAAGGTGTCTGGTACACAATTTTTAGGGAGCTGTCTATCCAGCTATGCATGAGAGCACAGTAATGTCCCCGAGTGCAACAATATCAAGTTTCAGTCAGAGATATAAGTACAACACTTGAAAAATGTGACAATTACAAAATCTGTGTTACAAAACGAGACAATGAAAAACACTGCAGGTGCATTTTGAAATGTTTTAACTAATCATCTTGTAATAAATGTCACTTCAGTTCTACTCCAAGTATGAATTATCATGTGCTGTAACACACAATAATATGCAAACACTTCTCTCCTGTATGATTTCACACGTGTCTCTTCTCAGAACTGTGCATGAGCTTCTCACTTCTAATTGAAGCTGTGTGTGATCTTGTGGCGCGAGTTCTCGTCACACCCAAGAACCAAACTGTACCAAATTTAGACCATTGCTACTGATTTATTTTTTTACATATCAGAAGCCACAATGTTCCAAAAACAAAATCAAACCAAAATCTTTATTAAATCTATCATCACAACTTGATAGGCAAACTGTAGCAAGAGTAAAAGGCGGTGCAATAAACACTCAACTTACTCATCTACTGATCCTGCCAGAGGTTTCTTTGATCGCTTGATGGCATAAATGCAGCCATCGAGTCGCTTCACACACTTGAACACGGCACCAAACTGTCCGCAACCAATTTTCTCCAGCTCAAGAAACTCTGACGTGTACCGGGACATCATGTTGCTTTCCATCATGGTGAGCCTCTGTCAGAAGAAGTAGTAGTTTACAACATGTTTATAATGAACATTTACGTTTTTGTTGTCAACTAAATTTTAAAAATAAAATGTGTTCTATTTGCTGTAAGGATTTTCTGCTTTTCTCTGTTTTAAAGTATTATCAATGAAACCGCTTTGGGATTTGGACAACTGGTCAAACGGAAAATTTTATCACCCTAAGCTCTGGAAAATTATGGTGGTGCTTTCACTATTTTGTGATCTATTTTATAGGTGATATGCTTAATAAAAAAAAGAACCAACAGATAAACCAACAATGCAAAAACCCTTAGCTGCAGCGATAAACCAAGTTTGAGATTAAACTATCTGGAAAATGTAATGCCTGAGGAGAAACAGACCAATTATATTCCTGACTGTAAATGTTGTGTATAACTGTATATAATTAATGTAAATCAGATAAACATTTAATTACCTTGGGTGGTGGTAGAATTTCTTCCTCTCCTTCACCGTCACTTGGTTCCATGTCTTCTCCACAAGAGCTGGAAAATCAAACATAGGGTGTTTGTTAGCATTCTATACAGCAGGGGGCAGCACTGCGGCTGCTTCACAAGCACATGGCAAAGTTCACCAGTAACCATGAGGCCTTGGGTTGCAGCCAACCTGTCTGGCCTTAGTCAACGGCTTTAACGTGTCTGGTTACTATAACAATGGGTTGGATCCATGTAAATGAGAACAGCTAAAGGTGGTTAACAACGTTCTACCATGTGTGATGAACAGCTGTTCCATTACTGTAATGACAAAGGCAAAGGTTATTATGCACCAACTGACCAGGGTTGAAATGATCTAACCAAAATACTGACTGCAGCTTGTCTACTCCCACTGGCACTTTGGAACCTGGAGGCAGAAGACAATGGCATTTCTAACAAAACTGTGACAGTTTAGAAAACATCAGAGCAACATACTCATTCCAGTGTGCCCGCTTCCTGTTGTTTCTTTGCTGTGTAGCAGACTGGATGAGGAGGGAGTCGGGGGTAAAGGGGTTAAAGTTGACCAGAGGGGTCTGCTGTCTCCTGCCCTTGTCTGTGATTGACCTTCCTGACGACTCCACATTCTTGAACAGGGCAACTCTCCTGTTGGAGGATCCCGGACCAGAGCCTCTAGCCCTGGACAACAAACTCTGAAAAAGACAGATTTAGTGCTTTGTTAATTCTTGAAAGCAACAGAGAGAAAGTTGCACAAACTAAAGATTTAAAAAAGCAACTTGATTGAGAGTGCAAGTTCAAATAAGCCACGTTAACAAACAATATATGGCTGGTTGCTTGGAAATAAAGTTTGTGGAATATCTCGGTTTAAAACTGGGTACTTAAATGGCAAATATGTGCAATGCAGTAATTACTAATGAAGACATGCCCAGACACAAAGCTCCGGTTTCCAAAGTCATCGGGCTGGTCACCTATAGGAGGAGTATTATGCAACAAGTACAGTTGTACATTAAGTGGGTCACTGGGTCTTAAATGGCACAGGAAAGCTACAACCCAGAATTAAAAAAGAAAATCAAGCAAAAAAAATAAATAAATAACCGAACTGGTCTGTTTGCATAAGCTCAGTGTTTCTAATTTTATTTTCTGACCAAACACCAGGAAAGATCAAGAAGCCAAAATCAGTGTTTCAAGGGTGCAAGCTTGTTCTATTAACTTTTGAAACACTTGAAGATCAAGGAGCCAAAGCTGTTTTTTTAAAAGAGTAAAGATTGTTTTAACTTTTTAAAAATGATTTGAAGAAACTACACAAACTTTTCTACTGTTTTTACATGAATACACTGGTTTAAGCAGGTATACAACGTCATCGATCTGTGGTCCTTGGAAAAATTACGTTACGCCGAGTAAACTCGGTCACTGGTTTCAAATACAACTGTTAGAAATGTCTAAAGTTAATTAGGTGATGGAGCTACAAATACCAACCTTTGGCGTGTGCGGTGTGTCAAAAAGGCGCAGTTTTCTGAAGGTTTTGTGCGGAGGTGTGTCGGGGCAGTCCGGGACCGGGGAGCTGGATCCTTCCCCGTCGTCCTGGATGTAGGAACGCTCCGGTGACCCTCTGTACAGGCGAGGACTTTTCCTCGGTGACGGTGAGCAGTTAGCAAACATATCACTGCCCCGGGACTGCAGGTGAGACGGGGAACTAAAGCCCTCCTCGTCCCACAGCTCCACGTCGTCGTCCCCACCGGACTGATTCAGGGGGCTGCTGCTCCCTTCCATCCGTTTGTCGGTGTTGTTCCGTCGCACTGGCATCGGGGAATCCATCTCCGTGAAGCCAGATTCTCCCCCTGTGCTGTTATTAACGTCCTCAATGGGCTCATCCTCTCCGTCGCTGGTTGTGAATTGTAGTTTTTGACGAATTGGCAGAGTTTTTGGGGAGGGGGTTCTGTGCCGATGACGACTGTAGGTCGACATTTTCAAGATTTAAACCCCGGCTTGGTCGACGGGAAAAACACGCGGTTCTACCCCTACTACTGTTGAGTGGCCTTTCTCGCAAAACACAAAACCAGTCAACTTTTAACTACCTTGAACTAAAGGTAAATTCAAAAACGTCAACAACTACTGCGAAACGCTTAAGACTCCGTTACCATCTTTAAAAAAAAAGTTAGCGTATTTTGTTTGCTAACTCCTACACGCCCATCCAACGATGAGAAATGGCCCCGGAGTTAGCTTGTATTCATCCCAAGTATTGAAAAAAACAAAAAAAACAAATACTCCCGGCTCCAGTAGAGTATCGGTATCAGTAACCGCCTCCTTGATGGTTTACCAACCCCAAAATATGTCTTTCCGCACTAAACTCAAACCAATGTTTACCAAAAAAAAAAAGTTTGAATGAGTCAAAATCTAGCCTCTTCCTATCACGCGCGTGGCAAACACTTCCCGCGACCGTTGATCACGTGTCTTCGGACAACCAACCAAAGCGTGTTTCGAAGTTTTGAAAGATGGGCGTTCCAGAGGTTTCGGCAGGCGTTACGTCATCGGTCGTAGAGCAACAGCCTGGCGCGAACACTGGAGTCTCAATTATACTGACTTGGAGACAAAGCACTATTATTTAGACGGCATGATCAAAGAAGCCGGCATACATAAAAAGCTTCATACCAAAACTAGAATATAAACTCAATGTCGTTAAGTTTACACATGGCTAAATACATCCAAACCAATGTACAGTACGTACTAACAACAAATGTAGTGGTTTAAAAAGACCTTCTGAGTAGTAACAAAGTCCGCATTCCAATACTGCACCCTGGAACTGCAAGAGCCGCCAAAAAGCCGCAGGTTTACATGTAATTTCTGTCTAAATAATCTTATTAATCACTATTTTGTAAGTGTGGTCAATTAGTTTGAACCAATGCTTAGGTCTAAGGTGGCTTAAAAAGCAAATGCTTTCCATTTCATGGACTATTCACAAACTGAAAAACCTAATCTGCACCTCTGCTATATGTGTCAGTTTCTGTAAAATTTACAAGGACTGGGGTGTTCAAAATTAAGCGCCATCAATTAATCCCACAATCTTTCTCTTTTTTTTATTAGAAATAGCATTAGCTGTACACTGCACTGTGCAACATGATCATTAGAAATTACTTTCCCATCTATTTGGCTGAGGGGCAAAACAGCACAAAAGAACTCCAGTTATCAAAAGTCTATTTACACAAACTAAGCCCTTCTGTGGGGAAAAATCATTAAGGAAGACTTGTGATTTCTCGCAGTGATATAGTCCAATTGAGATGGTTTTGATGCTAACTCATAGTCCATAATGAGTCCATCAATCATCCAGACCGGGCGACTCTCCTTGCTGTATTCTTGATGCTATTCTGATGGCTTCTTCCAGTGAAGGCTGGTCACTGAGCTATAGAGAAAAGGAAAACTGTTATAATACAAGCAGCACTGGTGCTGTACCAAAAACCACCATTAATCAATCAGTACTACTGATTTAATCTATTTACTCTGCCACCCTTTCAAAAGACAAAACCACCTTTGTATGACGAATTCCATTGATGACAGTCAGATGATGATCAAGGTGGTAAAGATTTTTTGATTTGTCATTAACATGACAATGAAAGAGCAGGAGTGGCTAAATGACAACAGTGTCTTTCAGGATAAATAAAGGTTTATCATCAAACTTGTAACCTTTGATGCAATCATAACTCCTTAGGGACTTAAAGATTATTTGTGAGTATAAAATAATCTTTCTATAATGAGGTTAATGTATTTGACAGGAAGATGACCAATACATGTAATATTACCACCTACCTACTCTAACTGGATTACATGTAAACTCACATGTTCTGGGGTTGTTTCAGTTTAGTCTGAAACCTGATTAGATGCATCAGCAGGAGGGCAACACACCTACAACCCCGGACATTAACTCCGCCTACGCATGAGTTTTAGTGTTTAAGCAAGTAACTCAGCAGGATGGGATTACCTTAAGTACTCTTACTGAAATTCCTGTCAGCACAATTTAAACAATATATCACTGAGGGTTTTTTTTTTTTCAGCAAATACAAAAGAGATCAATGTAAGAGCCAATCTGAAAAATGTTTAGTTTACGTAGTTATTAAGAAAACATAGCCAACATAGCTTTATGTTTTGGAATAATAAGTTTGTTTTATACAATGTGCTCTAGACATGTTATGTTATGGCATATTGTTGTTTGTTAACCATGTGACCGGATGTGTTTTTTGTTTTTTGGAAGGTTCGGACGGTCAGGCTAGAGCACACGGTTTTTCTGACAGAGTTATAAGCAAGTAATTTGTCAACCAGGAAACGTTTTATTTGTATGTTTATTTTTATTTAGTAAACCCTTTGTAAAAACCAAGAACTGGACTGTGGAACTTGTTTATGTCGTGTCATACTTACTGCATAAGACCTGCACCGTAAAGCGGCACTAAAGGCTAAGGAGTACCGCTACAATCAACACGGAAATGCAGCAGACTCTGTAACTGAGCCTTTAAATTTAATCCTGGACTTGCACTTAATTGCAATTCACTGTACAGGTTAAACAATTTCCCCATTTCACTAGTCAGGACCATGTCTATCTAAGTGCTGATAAAGGGGGCGAGCTTGTGTAAGGAGTGTTGTGCTGATGCTGCTTGGAGACTGTTAAGAGCATTTTGGGGAAGGATTCCGAAGAATCCGTGTGGCTCTCTGGAGTGGTAGACCCCATGGGAAGCAGGGAAAACAGTAGGAGGGAAGAGGGATACAGGAGGGCAGAAAGATATTTTACGAGAAATGAAAGCACTCTGCAGATAGATTGTGGAAATATTTATAGGCAAGTGGCAGGAAAAGGTGTGTTAGGGACATGATCCTGCTCCGGAACCGTCAATGTTTAACTTCATTTAAAAGTGGTACATTTATCTAGTTTTCATTACAAAGTGAGCTATGCAAATTCACAGATCACCAATAAACTCACACCATGATACTGGTCTACCAACCTGCACAGCAATGTGAGTCCCGTTGGAGGTGGCCAGTAATGTGACAGGATGAATGTCATCCTGTTCTTGGCTGTAGCCTGCCTCTTCCACAGTTTGGAATGAGGCCATGTCGGGTGTCATGATGGCCACCTGAGGGAGACAAAGACGTTGGTTATATCCCAGCACCTTTATTTTATCATTCCTTACCCCTCAACACTTGACATGGAAATCGTCCAGGTTCTCTGTCTGAAAGGCCCAAAGCTCCCATTTCTGTTCTGAGGAGTGAGGAGTAAGGAGCAGGATACACGAGACTCTCTCATACCCAAACAACACTTTACCAATAAACCTATTAGTGACTGGATACTGCTGCTGCTACTAGAATTGATCTAAAACCACATCACAACATAAGCGTAGTATTAAAAGGCATGGACAAACAAATAATATCTTCAAGAACCTTGCTCTTAAATTTTAAATTTGTGTTTTTCAGACACATCCTTAAATTAAAAGCAGTGGATCTGCAGGGCCGATTAACAAAAGAACCATTAACAACTTTCTTTATTCATTAAAAATGTTTTTCCTGCATCATCTGTTATTGTCTCTTGTCATCTGTATCATACAGTAGATATGTTCTGAGAGTGGATGATGTCTTTCAGAAAAAAGAATTACATTTTTACTATTGTCATTTCTAGAAAATATATAGTTTATTTACATAATTTCCATTTTCCCTAAAACACTGGGGCTAATGTATCATTTATAACATTTTAATTGCAACCTGGATTATAAAATCATATCAATCAATGTTGTTGCAAATAAGTTAACAAATTTAGTGGAAAATTTGAGGAAATGTTTCATGTACTTTCAGGGTCTGAGCAGTGAAGCCCATTTACATGCTGTGGTGTGACTGAGCTGAGCACAGTATAAATACACGAAGCAGGTTTTTATTAATGTTTCACAAACATAGGAGGTTAGTCAAACAGTTTTTTTATGGGAAGAAAAGTACAATTGTGCTGTCAGTAGCAACTGTGTGCCCTTTTTATGGAGTTATTTCTCAATTCTCTAGCAATATATTTGCTTGAGTCCTCTCTCCTCATATCTTTTCCTTGCCTCCCTCCTTGTGTCTTAGGTGGAAGGGATTAAGGTGCAAGGAAAAGGATGCAAGTGAGAGAAACATGGATGCAATTAAGGGAACTGGAATGTACCCGACCGTACACAGATATCAGCTATGGTGTTTGGTCAAAATTTAATTAGTGTCTACATCGGATGGCATAATAGAGGTCTAGCAAAGAGTTGGTTGGATGCCATAGACAGTTAATGATCAACAACCAGGCTAAAAATAAACACCTGAAAAGAACTGTTATGTTTGACTGTATACTGTGTAAGTAAAAATGGCTGCTCTTATATAATACCTTTTTTTAAAGATCTTGCTGTAAAAGTAAATTTGTTAGTCCTGAGTTTCAAACTGCTTTTTTCTGAGAACAGTCCGCTCAGTTAGTAACCAGTCTACAGGCACTTGTTTACCTGCTCATCTGAGCCATCCGTCGTTACCATGGTGACCGAGTGAGGACCTTGCGTTGTCAGTTCATGCGCCGGGATGGTTATAGTTGTGCCTTCTTGAGTTACCATGGTGATTGTTCCACCCATTGCATGCAAGTCAGCGTCAGAGATACTGACCTGAGGGTGAGGCACGATGCAGATTTAGGAGCATTTAATTTCACAGTAAATCATCCTGGTACAAAATGCCTTAAATCTAATACAGAACAACATGGTCACGTTTTGTTTTGACATTTTGTCTATGTCATAAGTACACTGCTTTTGTATACACAATACATGGAAGGCACAAGAAACCACTGTGAACATGGGACCATGACAGAAGGAGTGCAGCTTGAGGTGGCTTCACTTCTGGGGAGGACTTCAGGAGTCACGACTCCACCTTTACGGTTTTGTCAAAGATTTTAAATTCTTGGACTGTATCGCATTTACTATTTGTGATGCCACTGTGCTCCATTACCTGCTGTTGTGTTCCGTCTTCCTGCGTTACCAAGGCAACATGCTGCTGACCAACTATGTCAGAGCTCTCCATGGGCACCTGCTCTGAGCTGGAGTCATCTGCCTCGACCACTGTCGCTGTGTAGCTCACGTTAGGGTCATCAATGGCATCTGGATTGAGAAGATAAGATTTTGTCTGTCAGTATTTCAGATAATGCTTCTCCATATTATTCATATGTAATGTCATATTTCTTTTATTGTTAGTTCAGTTTCAGATTTGTCTTTGCATAAATGCATTTGTACTTAATATGTTCAGGTGTTACAATTTTAGTAGGCGGGATATTTTATACCATGTCTTCTTCACCACATGTTATATCCTAGTGTTTCTCTGTGGGATCACATTTTTGTGATAATCACCCACAGTCTCCTGAGGGTACATTCTAGTAGGGCTGCAAGCTGTTTTTATTTTAAAAATAAAGTCACATTTGAGAAACTGGAACCAGTGAATTTTTGCAGGTTTGATGTTAGACACTGATTACCTTTATGTCATTTATAACATAGCTATGGTCATTTTTGTATGAAATGTAGGAAAATATTAAAAAGGGCTTGTTGTAATTTCTCACAGCCAAAGAAAGTTCACTTATTCAGAATGCTTGTTTTATTTGTCCAGCTCAAACCTTAAATACAATAAGTTTAATGACCTATGTGACTAAGAAACACGTTGAATTCTCACAATGCTGAAGATGCAACCAGAGATTATTTTGAATTTTTGCTTGAAAACGCTCAACTAGTGTTCCTAATTTATTCTCTGACGATTGATCAGTTGTCAGTTGGAGTTCTAAGTCTAATCTTCTATGTTTGATCTCACAGGCCTTTGTCAGAAATTGTTCTTTAAGAAATTTCCCACATCTTCATGTACACTGACCTGCTGGGGGTTCAAAGTAGGCCTCCTGCTCCTCCTCGATGGGCTCTGTGTCATTGTGTGCTGTGCGTTTGTGCATGGCAAGCGTGGAGATCTGCTTGTATGTTTTCCCACAGTGGTTGCAGTTATAAGGTTTACAGGGTGTGTGAACAACATGGTGTTTGTAGAGGCTGGAGTATTCCGTGAAGCGCTTTTCACACCCAGGCACTGTACACACATATGGTTTTTCACCTGGAGAAGCAGGAAATGAGTCAGACAATGAGTTCTGTTTATTATTATTACTGTAAGAAGATGTGAAAACTCCTGTCTTTGTTGCAGTATTGTATAGGAACTCAAGAATTACTACATGCTTCACTCAAGGCTTGGCACAGGTGCTGAGCTGGAGAGTGCCTGAGTAGGACAGTAAACCACAACTTGCTCACTCCTCCTTACCAAATAACACAGCACCAACAGAAAGACTTCTGTGTGAATGGACTCACCAGTGTGAATCCTCATATGGTTCTTGTAGTTGGTGGCACTAGCAAAGGAGCGACCACAGCTCGGCTCGGAGCAGTAATACGGCCGCTCACCAGTGTGTGTTCGGATGTGAACTTTACGGATGTTGGAGGTGGTAAATGACCTGCCACAGCCTTCGACTGGGCATTTAAAAGGCTTCTCTCCTGCAAGACAAGATGGGATATAAAACAAAGTCACTTTGTTCAGCCAATCCTGGAAGTGCATCATAACATGTGTTGTTTCAAAAAGCAGGTGGCGCATGACTCAGGCAAAAGAATAACAGAATTTTAGCTGCACACAGTCTCCTCTGTATTAAACAAACAACCCAGAGGCCCAGTAACAGTTTCAGCTCCCAGCAACAGCTTACCATACTTACACACCTTCAGGCTCACTGTGTGTTAACAAAGGTATAACTGTTGAGTGAGTGTGTGGGTGTGGCAGAGTACCTGTATGAGTCCTTGTGTGCTTTTGAAGGTCTCCAGATGTTTTGAATGACTTTGAGCAGTTGAGCTCTTGACATCTATATGGCTTCTCCCCTGTGTGTGTGCGTGAGTGACTCTTCAGTCCATACCCTAAAATCACCATAAAAACACAGAAATCAAGAGTCACTTACACCTTTATTCTTGTTCAGCTATTTGTGGTAATCCAATAAGAGCACTTCAGTCCAATTTCATTTTGACCTCTCCAAGTGATGACTTGTTAAGAATATCATTATACAGTATTAATTGTGGCATCTCACCAATGTGTTCAGTCAATAAAAAATAAATAAATAATATTAATAATAATTATGTTAATTTAAAAACATATTAAGTGGCTGCCCTGTGAGAAAAATTTATTTCTCACAGCTACCTGTTGCAAACTTCTTCCCACAGCTAGGATAGTCACAGACGTATGGTTTGTCTCCGGTGTGGGAGCGTTCGTGTACCTGCAGGAAGCACAAACAAAACTGTGTATAGTGAGACTGAAAAAGCACACAAGTAACAACATCACAGGAATATGCTTTAAGGGGAGGAGTGTCTTTAAAGAATTCCACACTTGATTAGGCACAAGCAAAGCAACACAGCACAACGTACACACACAACCACAAAACACCCACACTTGCCTTGAGGTGGTGGGCAGTGGTGTAGAGCTTTCCACAGCCCTCGTATTCACAGCGGAAAGACTTCTCTCCTGCATTTCCCACCCTTCCTGGCCTGTTGTCTTGACCCTGTAACACAATCTGAAAGAAGCATTAATTAGTCTTTAATATCAAAACTAAACAAAGGATAAACAGTCAGGGTCCAAAATTAACTTTTTGACTCAATGGCCAAGGTGGCTGGCGGATGTTAATTTTGGACCCTGTAAACAGTCATGAAAAAAGTTCTCCAGAAAAGATGCTCTACCCGCATGTGGACGCCATTATCTGCTTCCACTCTGCCAAAAGAGCCCAAGGGGTTTTCTATATTCTCCACCTGACAGGGAGGAGAACGGACACTTCCTATTACAGTACATAGTGTCATAATTATGAACAATCACATCTAAAGGTATTGTAAAGAAAAACACACACACACACACACAGACAGGTTTGTTATCTATACATGTACAAACTCTTCACAAGAGACACCATAAGGAGTACATTTCGAAATCAAAATCTAATCTATGCAAATGTCAATACAGTCGATATTAACAAATGTTTCACAAAACAACCTATAAACATCATATAAATATCAGAAAAAAAGAGATAAGAAATATAAATCCAGTGTGCAATAAGATAAAATTAGACTGACAATGTTGGTGCAGAAATTAACTACAGGAAAAATAAAAAAAAGAATACTATAAGCATACTATATAAAAAAATTTGTTAAACAGCAAACTTTTGGATGATTTAATGTCCACATTGTTAATATATTACTATTTAACAAAACAAGAAAAATTTATTGGGGCATAAAGGAGAAAACTTATCAACACAATATGATAATGTTTTTGATACTGATTGTGTTTCACATGACAAGTTGGCCAAACTGGTGCCACACCAGTACAACACTGCAAGATGTTTACCTTGGCGGTGTACTGTTCCAGGACACTGATGGTTTCGGGGTCGATAGCCGTGGCCTCGGTCTGCAGGTCTGCGATGGTGCCGTCAGCCTGGATGGCCAGGATGGTGTTGGACTGGGGCATGTGGACCGTGTGCTGGATGTAGGCCGTGCTGCCGTCCTCCAGCTGCACTTCCTGGAGGCCACTCTGGTCATATGCATCTAAGCATAAATGAGGAGAAGGATGCAAAGAAAGGAAGTGAATGAGGAAACTGGACTTGGGTCCAATGTAAGATCTGAGATGACTGTTTGCTCAGAGAATGGATGGTTTCCCACTTTATGTCTGATGACAAAGTAACTGCATCTTTGTACAAATCACTCAGCCATAAGAGGTTAAGAAAATTAATGAGTTATTAGCACCGTTAAAACCCATTAAGTATTAATGTACTGTTCATGTACGAGTCCATTTGTTAGATTTTTTTCGATAATTTTTATAATTTCTATGAATAACACACGCACAATAAAAAGCCAGACAATGACCATATTGGAAAATGTCTCACTGATACATAAACACTGTGTTTTCAAGTCACTCCCTAAGGCTACGAGTCTTTGTATACTTCCACTTTTGCACCCAATTTCAACAATCATACAAAAAAGGGATTCTTCATAAAAATACCACAAATGCCAGCTTTTAATTCTCAAAGAAACAGATCTGACCAGAATACAGCCACAAGATTCTGAATGTATTGTGTAAAACAAAGTGTATAACATGCTCATGAACACACTCCCTTGTCAAACAAGCCAGCTTGCTAACTCTTAACTCACAGTAACCAGTTACTAGTGGTGTGATTCTACAGTGGTGACATGCCTGTGCAGATTCTCAGTCATCCAGGTCATAGTAAACTGAAAAAAACCAACTGGACTGGATTTCTTAGAAATCTAAGTCCAGTTGATTTTTTCTAAGGTTTTCTACAGTGGTGGCTAAAGGGCATTACAAAAAGAAGAACAAGAGACAGAATGAGTCCAAGTATGGAAACAAAAAGTTTAATTACAATTTGTGTTATATTTTCCTGTTCTTTACTTTCTCTTCTTCTCTTAATACAACAAACCAAAAGTTGATTTCTTTAAATTACTCTTTAATCAATTACATTCATACACAAATTAAGTTAAATTACTGAAATCAGACACAGTTATAATATTACCTGAAGAGGTAAAAGGAACTTTTAAATTCTCTGAGAAAATGAAGTTATTAGATGTTAAACTTTTTTTTACCTTTGGGTGTGTGAATGTAGGCAGTTGTTCCATCTTCTAGCTGCACTGCCTGCCCATCTTCAAGCTGTAAACTGTCCCCTCCTACACCAGAAGAAAACATTAAACACAATGACCTCACCAACAGTAACTTGGTAATATCTGCTCTGGACAAGTTTCCATGCGTCTCCATATATGCTTGCAGTCCTATAAGATGGACTTTTATCACACAGATGAAATACTGACTGTTTTCCATTGTGCTACAAGGTTTTTCAGAAAAACAAGACTACAATAAGAAAACTATCCAGCCTCATGTATGCATTTACTGCATGGAAATGTTTTCATTCTCTCCTTCCTGAGATACTACAGGGATTTGTGTTTTACCTGATTTAGGCATTGATACATGCTGAACGTAGGCAGCAGAGCCATCCTCCAGCTGAATCACCTGGCCATCCATGATCTGTCCTTCTGAAAAGGAAGCTTTGGACTCATGCTGGATGTATGCGGTGGAGCCATCTGCAAGAGTAACAGCCTGCAGGCTCACTGTGTCCATGCTCTCCATCTGATCACCATCTGAAAAGTGATTTGATAATGACAATACTAGGTCATCATGGCTGATGCATGATCATCATAATGGCATGTTAGTTTTCAAATGGACAAGAGAGGGAAAAGATCTGATACTCGTAAAAACAACTTTCTCTGTTTGAAATTTACTCTTTTACATGGATAATTAAAGCAAATACTCTATATATAGGATATAATAATAATAAGGCTTATAGAGAACTTATCAAAATCAGCAATTATACAGCACTTTACAAATGGCAGACTTAAGATAAACAGTTACTCTATTCTTTTATATTTATTTTATATGGCTCACATTGTTTAAAGTAGATACCACTAATGTATTTTCTAGTTTTGTAACTTATCTATAGTATGCATCTGCTATTTACTTATTTTTGTGGTGTGACACAATTTCCTACACAAGATCAGTAGTTTATTTTTATTTAGCAATAGTGCATCATCACATATGATAAATAAATAAAATTATCTTCCCTGCCGACCATCTCAAGCTGACATTGGCTGTACTGGGGGGAGCTCACCTGCCACTGTCACAGCCTCTGTCAGACAGAGAGTGACCGGCTGTCCGTCTGCATCGTGAAACTCTGCCATTCCCTGGGAGTCCCGGTTTATCTGGGCCAAGAGCATGCTTCAGCTGCTGTGGTGACACATTCAGGAGACACAGTTTAAATTTATATTGCCATCCACAGCTCAGGAAACACACTGAGAACTGAGGGTGGAGGTGCTTTGTTTTTTTCTATGCTCAAATACACTCAGTTTATTAGGTAAATATGTTTTGTGGTAATCTGATGGAACACAATTTTGGATATGCAACATACAAGTACAAAACTGAAATAATTAAAGTCATAAATTTCAACATAGGCACCCACTTCAAGTCAGAGGGCCAAGTTCAGGTTAATAAAGCATGACTAACTTTAAGGCCCTTGGTAAGTCATTAACTGTGGCTGCACGGTGCATATTCAGATATATTTTTATTTAATTACAAATGAATGTGTGTAGTTAACACAAATAAACCTGGAGTATTGGGGTCCCTGGAGCTCTGGAGAAGGTGGTAACCCAGCCTTGTTTACAACTGCACTTGACAAATAGAGTTGGCTGCATTTATTACTAACATTATATGGTACATTTGTGGTGGGGTTCAAGTCGCTATTGGCTATATTTCTCATTTTAAGCTGAGCGTTAACTTGATGACTGGGCTCTAATGTCAGTTACCACTGGTGCTTTTGGCGCTTGCTAATTTGAATATAGCATGAAAGCTAGGTAGTTTGCTAAGATACAGCACAACTAGGACTTGCCATACTTGTCATCCCAAAATTAAGCATTATGTAAAAAGCGCAGCGAGACGGCTAAAATGTAAGGTTAACCATAGCCACTCAGCATAATGACAGCTCATGTGAAGGGTCAAACAATACAGCTAGTTAACGCTAACTTAACATGTCATAACGGGGCAGGCTGATTAGCCACCACGCTAACAGCACTGCTAACTACGCCAACCACAGCTGTCACGACTTTTAGCTGCTATTAGCAAACTGTTCCTTTGGGCTTAATATATTAACGAGAGTAAAACTATTTCAAATAAGGATGTGAACAAAGCTGACCCTGTAAATCAGACAGATTAGATTAGATTCAAGTCATTACCCATGTACAAGTACAGGGCAATGAAATGCAGTTTAGCATCTAACCAGAAGTGTAATAACAGCATTGCAGAGTGCGCAGTCTACATTCTGTACAGTCAGAACTAATTTACCGATGGATATGTACTGTTGATATTTACAGTAAGATACGTAGGGTAATGTACGATATACAACAGACTATGGAGCTAGAGATCTGGATAGCTGTTTGCATGAACCTACACGGCGACGCAGTTAGGAAACAAGACCGACGAATCTATGAGCTCGTTTATGATAACATAAGCATTCTGACTCTGTGAATGTAAATTTTATGTTAGCTGCTAAACATTAATTTCCAGTCGTCTTTTGAATTCTTGTCGCAGCCTGTCACTCCTCTCTCACAGACATGGCTGTGGGAATAATGCACACTGGGTAAAAACCAATTTATATACTAACCTCCGAAAAATTTCCAACAATTCCTCCTGTTCGACCACCATGCACCAGTGCAGGAAACGCTCTGCGATGGCCACACCCCCCGGAACATGTATGACAGAACAATCCTCCGCATTGTATGCCGCCTATTTGCAATTCGGACACGATGATTGGCTAGAAAGCCAGAAATCCCATCTCCATTGGTCAACGAATTTGTCGATCAGTCACCCCGCTAACCTATATTGCGGTTATTCAACTCCCCGGGCCCCTGGCAGACGCCATTCAGCATCGATTTTCGTATTGTCTTGAGGTTTTAACTATAAAAACGCTACGTCGTCGCACAAAATAAATATTTAAAATAACATACAAGACAGCTGGTAACTGCGACTGCAGATTCCGAGCGACTGTGTGCCATAGGATGAGGTTAGACTTGTTCGTCTGCGTCGTAAACAGCGACTTGAGGGGAGATTTTTCGGCATCCATGTTGAAAACAAGGTCGTGTGGGAAAAAAGGGGGAATGTGGGCAATGCAGTGAACACATTAGACAGTATAGACTACACAGAGCATCTCATCTAAAATACAAACCCACAGAATCTTCAAAGTAGTCGTTCAAAAGAGAATTTCAACACATGAATAGATCAGTTATATGGACAATAAATACGTAGACAGATAGCCCAATCCTAGCAGAACGTTGTTATAGATTCTGATGTGATGTGGGTGTTGAATAACGAGGATAGCCTATATGTTCCATGCAAACATGAGGCTACAATAGAAGCCACACCCTTATCGTGTCATTGTTCTCTACTCATGCTATATAGTGCTTTTGTATGCACTGATGAGCATTCAAAGCGGTTTACACTATTTACCATTCATCCATTTGCACACACATATGCTCACACATTGACAACCTGGTAACATCACCAGAAGCAACTAGGGGTTCAGTGTCTTGTTCAAGGACACTTTAACATGCCGACCCGAGACGCAGGGAATCGAACCGCTTAAATTTGCACCACTAAAGCACAATATCAACTCCATTTTGTGGTCCTAGTCTTTTAGATGAAGTCTACTGATGTGGTCATTTGTTGTGAAATATTTCATGAAATTGCTTCCATGTTTTGGTCTGTCAACTAACCCAAAGATAACCTCAGGCAAGATCTTATTATTCCATCATAGGAGAACTATAAGACTGCAAACAGTTAGTTTCATGATTGCTATTAATCAATTGATTGTTCAGTGTCCCTGAAGCCCTGAACATACTCCCATTGCCTGATATTGAATTTACTATCAGAGAAAACTGAGTTGGTGCCAGTGACTTTTTCGTTATTGGTACTTAAAATGGAAAATCAATTAAGTGTCAAAATTGTTACCACTTAATTTTCCGTAAATCAACAAATCAGGTGTTTAATCTCTAGAGTAGGCATACTGGTTGGTTTCTGAGTACCAGGGGAATTAATTAAAACGTCACTTGGGGGTTAAAGCCTACAGTTCCATGCAAAAATGACATATTTTATTTTTATCTTTTCAAAATCAAAAAGTAAATACAAACTCCATAGCAAAAACAAAAATACTAGCCTTTAGTCAAATGCAAATGCGTGGGTACTTTTTAATTCATAAACCTAAAAAAATAGGGAATAAACATTTAAAAGTAGGTGGTATGTGTCAACATTTAGGCAGACGTTCTTCCTTTTCTCTCCTTTTCATATGTGTAAAAATAACATAATTGCATCGGTTTTTCAGTAAGAATGTTATTCACAATTAAAACAATAGCCTATTTATGATTAACCTATGAGTGACTTAAAGGTTGTACACGTAGATTTCTCGAAGCACAGCTAGTCTCAGAAGTGTGAGTCACAATTAAAGTGATGTATTTCTTTTAGATCAGGGGAGCCCACACTTTGCGAGCTACTTTTCAAATGACGAAGTCAAAATGATCGACCTACGCGCGCGCACTCACACGCACACAAAATAAATGTATGAATGAGTGTCGTAGTTTTTATGAACAGTCTGAAAGTGCCGCTCCACATTTCCCATCGGATAGTAGATTGGTAGATCAAGCAAACGCATTTCGAATATAATGTCGCGAAAACAAGTCCTCCCATTCCACATGGAATGTTTTCGGTACGTTTCGGTTTCTTACTTGATTCAGCTCCCCCACTCATTTTATACCCTTTAGTAGACATTATTTCCAAGGCTGACAAGTTAGTTCGCTCACTAGAGTTTTGCAGTAGCTTGTGCTGTTGACTGTGCATGTTTGGTGGCTCGTGTGTCAGAAAAGACGAGACCTCAGACTGGCTGCCCTGCATGTCAATCAAGTAGCAAACGCCATATGGAGGATGGATGACAGGCTATATATGAATGATTGGCACTTTTTGCTTTTCCTGTTAGGGGTCACCACAGCGAATCGTCACACTGACCATTCGCATGTTAACATTTGGCACGTGGTTTACGCCGGATACATTTAATTTATTTTTGAATGGCACGCGATCTCCCGACACTACCTTCGCGATCTACCGGTCGATCGCGATCGACGTATTGGGCACCCCTGTTTTAGAGTTTTGGGGCAGGTTGAAGCTGCATCAAGTAAAACCAAACACAGCACGATACAGGAAGTTGTCAAAATAAAAGCTCTCATTCAACACTTCAGGAATTAACGTCTACAAACCAAGGCACTGGCCAGCACAGCAACGCAGTATTAGCACCGTTTCTTCACAGCAAGAAGGTTTCGGGTTCGAGCCCTGGCTGAGTTTGCATTATCTCGTGGGTTCTGTCTCATGTGAAGCAGTTTGAAGCAACTCAACTTGCCTTCAAAGAAAACCAGAGAAATTGTGGTTTAAATATCCATACATAGGCTTGTCCTGATGGTGAAATAAATACCCATTTACATTTGACATTTTCAGTAGCGAGGAGAAGCGCACAATTTTCTGAGTTCAGCAGCTTTTGTTTCTTTCAACTCACAACAATTTTATATAGATGAACAATGCCAGATCATTCTAATTTGTGTTTGAGTTTTATTTTGAAATGTGTAACTACAAGTCACGCTTTAACCTGTCTGACTTGTCTGCCTCCATGGTACACAGGATGGAGGTGTCTCCTCTTAACACATCATAGGTGTTTTCTCACTAGCCTCAGTTGTATTAACACAGGTCAGGAGCAACATAAACACACACTGCCTCAGTTGGACTCTGATAGGCTACTGGTCGAAATGTTCACAGGGATGCGGACAGACAACCGTGGAGACCCGGGGGTCCTGGATGCTGCGACACTGAGGCAGCAGAGGAGGCTCAAACAGGCAATCCAGTTCCTCCACAGGGACTCGGCTGATCTGCTGCCTCTGGATGGATTGAAGAAGCTCGGGACATCTAAACAGGGGGTGAGCCAAAGGCAATAGTGCCACCTTATAGACATGGATGTACTGTAGCCTCAGAAAATAGAGTTTAAAAATGATGTTTTTGACTGTTAAGAGGTGACTACCGTTTCCCAAGTGTAATATCTACCTTCGCCTTTATGGATGCTTTTGGTTTTGTTGGTCATGCTCTTGTTTTGCCATCTTTTTGTTTATATAAGTTTTTGCTGCATGTGTCTCTCTCTTTGTTTCTTTATATACTGTAGATGCTTATTGCATGTCTGTTTTGTTATTGTTTATTTCAGGGCAAAATAAATAAAAAAATTTAAAAGGATGTGACATATGTATATGTAATCCATATCATGCATAATTAAATTATAATAAATAAACAAACATAAGTAGGAGCAGTAATTAAAAACAATGTTTCAATGAAAATTACCTAATGTTTGCACACCAGACAGCTGTGCTGGTGAATTAGTGATGGGTAAAAATGTAGCTTCACACTAAAAATCTGACTATGTAGTTTGTATGTGACAGTGTGCCTGGGGTGACTTTTTAATGTTTTGTAAAATGTATGTATGTAAATGCAACAAATTATATTTAACAGCTTTAAAAAATTTTATTTGTGTCACTGTCAACATCTTTTAATGTTCATTAGGCACTGAGACGGTCTCTTATAATGGCAGCGTTATGTGTTACAGATTACTAATTTTGAGCTCCACATGGATGAGAGGAGAAGTGTGACACATTTTAAAATCATGCTTGCTTTGTTTTTAGCAGCCACACCATATTCTACAGAAGCGGCTGCTGGAAGCCAAGCGACCCCGGGGCCGGATGAACATGTGTGGAGTAACCCCGACCAGTGGAGGGCTCCTTCTGAGTGGTAGTTGCTTCAGTTCACATGAGGATGAGGACAAAGAGGATGAAGACTTGATCTATGTACCTTGCAAGGTGAGAGCAATAAGTTATGTGTATCCCCATATACAAACTGCTAATACAAGATTAGCTTTTAATGTGGACCATTTGTTTTGGACTTGCTTTTTTGTTTTGCTCTGAGTAAAAGTTTCCACTTTTTTCCATACTATGACATATGAGGCGATGCAGCATATTTTATGACGGTGTTAATCTGAGGTTTTTGTTCATATAATACTTTAATGTATAATATATATTTTGTTTCCAGTGTTTAGGACAGGAAATGAATGTGCTGATTGACACAGGCTGTAGACTGAACCTGATGTCCTCACTGACTATGGAGAGATTAAGGTAAATATTGGCATTATTTGTCTGTTTGACTGACATTAGGTCACTTTCAGTATCACAATGGGATGCTAAAGGAAAGGGGATATATTTATATCTGCCGTATTTTTGTTTCTCTCAAAGTTTGCAAGAACTGGTTGAGGAGAACAAACTGGAGACAGATGGTTTCCCATTTCAGCGTAAGCTCTGTGTCGGTGGTTACATCAAGCAGCTCATTCTAACCATTGGACAACTCCGAGTAGTTTGCTCATTTACTATACTGGGTAAAGGAGATGAATAAGATCCAAGTTGGATAAATAAGTTCCAGCATTTTGAGACTGTGGCCAGTGATTTTAAGACACTTTAAAGGATTAATATTACTGTCCACCAATCATGTTGATTTGCAGAAAATAACAGACCGTTGATGTCCCTGGGCACCAAGACACTAAAATCACTCAAGGTAAAACATCTATCATCTCCACCACTGTTTGCTAACACACAATCAGGAAGAAACAAGATATTCAGTAATAGTTAAGTAAATAAAGATATAAAAGGCCAAAAGACCCACAAAGTGGCTATCGTAGATTGTCAGTGGGAAAAAATAAATAAGAGTAAAAATATTGTGTAATGTTTTTGTATGTCATCTTTGTTGCAGTGTGTAATTGATACTGAAAAGCAGATGTTGGTGTTTGGGACAAGCGTGAAGGAGCAAATCCAGTTTGTCAAAAAGCCATTAAATGAAAGGTAAAACGGTCAGTTTATTAATTTTAAAAAAGCGCTTGCTTTGAGAACATTTATTCATTTAGGGTCTCCCTGCGTGAGTTCTCTCTGGGTACTCCAGTGACTAAACTGCCCATAGGAGTGAGTGTGGGTGTGAGTGGTTGTTTGTCTACATGTCAGCCTGTGTTTGACTGGTGACCTGTCCAGGGTGGACCCCGCATCTCGCCTAATGTCAGCTGGGATTGGATCCAGCCCCCCGCGACCCTATTCACAAATAAGCGGTGTAGATAATGGATGGAGGGCTGGATATTTTATCTAAGTAAGATTTTGCTCTACAAATTCATCTAACCAACTGATTTATGCTTCTTCTTTTCTTCTGTTTGTACAACAGTTCCTCTAACCTCAGAGACCTGGGATACTGACATTCCCACCAACACATGCTGTGACCAAAAGCAATAGAGATATTTACTCTTACAACTACATGCCTCACTGGGGAACTTCTGATTTCTCACCTCAAATTCTTTACCCATTTATTTGCTGCACTCACGAGTCAGAAAATGCACAATGACTCCATATTTTGACATAAAGGGAGTGGTTTAGAGCAGCTGCTCCCACAGACAATTCTTCCTGTAGCACTGGCAATGAGTAGCCTAGAGTATGAGCTTGTATTAGCGGCCATCACAGTAGTAAGTATTGTACACTTTAAGATTCTGATAGAATTGCAATTTCAATCTTGGATGTTGCACAAATTAGTATGTGTTCTACATTTATAGATGAAATCAACCTTGGAGAGCAAACGTTGAATTGTAGTTGACGCAGACCAGCTGTTTATCTACTGCATTTTATAATGTAATGCGTTTTCTAGTCTGAGACACGTACTTGCATTGAGGTCACTGCCTTTTAATATTCACAAAAATGATAGTGACATTTGTGATGTTTTATCGTGCGAAGTAGCCCCATATCAAATAAACTGATGTGAAAACAGTGAAAGTTCTCCTTGTTTTTCAGTGTGTTTATTTGTCATATGCACAGTTAGGAAACCTGTTTCCCTGTACAATGAAATTCTTACTTTGCCATCCACATGAATGCCACACAATACAAGTGAAATATAAAGTAGATGAGCAATAACACAAATCTAAATAGGCAATAAAAATAACAAATCTAAGACACTTTAACGCAGCAAGTGAAAGTGTAGTACTTTAGAAAATCTTGGATAACTAACTTTGACTGAGAGCCATTTACAAACATGCTCATCTGCAGGTCATCTGGCATAATCTGGGCTCCAAGTAAGAAGTAAAACAGTGGAGGGTTAGTAATACAAGAGTAGGGATCGGTATCATTTCTCACCCTGCCTGGTCACTAGGATGGGAGCAGCTTTAACTGCACAACTGACCTGCTGCATGGCTGTGACAGTTGGGTTTGGTAACACAGCTCAGCCAGCTGATTGGCAGGTGAACAGCCCCTCCAGTGGCCACGAGGAAGAGTGGCTCAGTCCTGAACATTTCTCCATGGAGACCAACATCAACAGTGAGGCAAAGTTGTCGTCTGCAGCCGACTGTCAACAACACAAAAACTGCAGGTAATGTCCTGAGTCTTAACTTTCAGGCCAGAACAAATAATGAGAAGAACAGTGTGTTTAGCTACTTTCTTTACTGTTTGTGGCAAGAACTATCTCCTGTTATTGTCAGTCAGAGGAGGAAAAGTTTGGCATTTCTGTGCACATTTGTGGATCAGACTGTTTTAGGCCCGTGTGGATCGTTTCAGTGGAGGAATGTAACTCAAGTGTAGAATTACAGTACAGCTGAAAGGTACCTATACATTACTTAAGTGTTTCCATTTTCTAATGCTTTTACTTCACTACATTTAAATGATCATTTGAGTTGCTTTGTGTACACTGATTAATACAATAGTACATGTACTGTGTACTTCTACTGAATTTACAAAACAAGATTAATATAGTAAAACATAACTTGTAACATGACCACAAAGAAAAAATATAAAAAACAGCAGAAAGTCATAGCTACAGCAAGTTAAATTACATTAAAACACATGGACTGCTTAAGTTTTATATTTCAATTATCTTTTCCTTTCAAATGATAATGTTTAATATAAATCATTTCTTATTAATAGGTTTTAAAACTAATTTTATTACAAGTAGGCTAGATGGTAGCTAGATACTAATAGATGAAGGGAAAGTACAGCTATTTCATAGAATTCCTCTTTCCTGCTCAATCTTTCTTTTGTGTCCCCCCCAATCCTTACCACAAAATCAGTGATGATCAAAGTAAATAGTTTCATTCCTTCACAGTATTTCAGCATCGGGATGTCATCCAGGCAGAGGGTGGCCTCTAAGGCCGCATTGATTTCTCTGTTTATGGGCAAACGAAGCTGCAACATCACTTTTGTCCTGGACAGCTCCGAGGACATGAGAGCTGTTCTGGGGTCAGTGAAACGCCTACTGATCCAGACTCTGCTGACAAAGGCTTCACTCCAGGACTCTCTCTTCAACATCATGATGTTCTCAGCCAAGGTGAGGTGGGAGTGTTTCTGTTGGGATTGTTGTGTAAATTAAAGAATGGATTTTCTTATTTTACAGACAGAATATTTCACTCTAAAACCCTCTTTATGCCCCTTCTCACTGAGTGAGGTGACAGATTTTTCTTCCACACTGTAGGTGAACTGCTGGTCCCACCACATGTTGCCCTGTGCTCCTGACACAGTGTACACTGCTGTGTCCTGGATTCACTCCATCAGCTGCAGCCCCGGCAGAGATCTCCTGGCCGCCCTGAGTATGGCCCTCGCTGACCCAGCCTGTCACACCGTCCACCTGCTCTGCATAGACCTCCCCAGGCAGCCGGAGACTGTGCTGAGAGCCCTGCCTGCCCTGGCAGCTGGAAGGCCTGTGAACGTTTTCTACCTGCTGGACTCTGTCGGTCAGATGGATGGCAACACCAGAGATTACCTGCAGTGTCTGAGCCAAGCCACAAGAGGGAGCTGTTACGTGATTACAGTTGGTTCAAATAGAAAACTGGACAAGGTATGACTGGAAATGATGGGTACTGGGTGGAACGAGTGGATCTATTGAATATCCACATTGTCTATTAAACGGGGGGGGTGGTTGTTTCTCTTATAGCTGTCCCCCTCACGCCCTTGAAACTCACAGGGAATCAGTATTATTGTTCTATCATGAGGGTTGAACCCTCATCAAGTAGTTGCCAAGAAAAGTCCCCAGAGTCATTTAAACATCTTTTCACACCGATGTGAGTGCTAGCAGAAACTATGCTTTCACTTAGTTACACATTAATAGGTGAATTAGATAAATATGCTACATGATTGTGACTTTGATTAAAAAAAAAAAAATCTATTGACAGCTACAGAGGTTTTCCTACAGTAAACAGATATATCTGGTGGCACATTTTTGAGAAAAATGCACCAAGAGAAATCAAATGCATGAAACAAATGAATAAATAAGTATTAAGGGAAATGCTGCATATTAAGACAAAAATATCAAGTCTGAAAAATTTCTCTACAAACAATGTCTGAATATGAAGACGGCCTTTGATACCATGCAATAGTTTAAAAAAAATAATAATTTTTTACAAACAATATTGTGACTGTTTCTGTGCCGTCAGGTGATTCCTCTGCATGTTGCCGAGAACCAGTCATCCGTGCCAGCCGCCCCTCCCAGCAACTGCTGCTGTCCGTCCGCTTCCCTCACAAATACATCATCACCTCTAATAGGGTTGGTTTTTAACAGTGCAGCACAAACTATGATACAGCTCTGAAGCAAAACCTGACATATTTTTAGCAGGTGAAACATACACAAGGACTAAGTGTTGATATGATGGATAAAATCATCGGCTCAGTGCCATGTCTGTACTATGTGTGCCACACTTAACTTGCTTCTTGGCCTCCTGTGGTCATCCAGGTGCAGTCTGGGTAATCCTCTCCATCCAGTTGCCTCCTGTATGCTGTCTGCTCAAACCCTGGGCAGTTCAGAATTTTTCCCAGGATGCAGAGTGCTGGCCAGGAGGGAAGTGGATGGCCTTTACTACATGGGGAGGGTGATGCAACAAGTTCAGGTGAAAGGACAGGACATCTGTATGTGCTGTGGACAGCAATGTGATTTCAGCTGGTTAAGTTACTCCACAGTGGATTTGAAAAGAAAATGTGACCATAAATGACCAATGAATGATGTCTTCTTTCCATGTGTCCAAACTCAGGGCCGCGCAGGACTTTGGTTAGTTGAGTTTGACCATCCAACGGCTGCTAGTTTAGGTGTCGTCTCTGCTCAGAGGCAACTGGTTTGTTCCGTCGACATGGTGAACCACACCAGGGCTCATACACACTATCTGGTACCCGGTGAGGCTGTCCTGTCGCCATGGGAACCAGACCTGAGGAGATACGGGCCGGGGAGATTGATGGCTGCCACAGAGCGCAGAGATGGATTTGGCGGTAGTTAGTACTGTTTGTGTTGACATTTTTAAGGCTGGATGAGGTAATGTGGATTAAGGTCCAAAATTAAGTATACTGTGCTTTCTAATGAATAATTCTAGTGAGGATGATTTCATTTAATGGATGCTAAATAAGCATAGCTTTACACTGAAGTTGGCATACATCTACTATACCTTAGTTATTTGACAAAACAATCACAGGTCCACTTACTAGCTTTTCTCAGGGCTTTCAACCTTATCACATGATTTTCATCAACAGAGGGTTCTGTTCACTTGGAGATGAAGCTGTTGACAGTTGTTACAATTGAATCCACAAAACTTTAGGACTATTCTATGTTAAAGTGTCAATCCAGCTGAAACGTCACTTGCTGACCTTTTCTGGAGATTTTAATCCTATTACATGGTTTTCACCAGTGCTGGTTAACCCTTGTGCTCTGTTCGGGTCTGTGGGACCCGGAGTCACATGTCACCTTAAAAACAACAATATATATAAATATATATTTATTTACCGATTGGTTTCATGTTTCTCTGTTGTAGAATTGTTACAAGGATTATTATTCATGCAGAAAAAGTACTGATACTCACACTCCATAAATTACTGTCTCAGCCTTCTTTCCTGCAGTTGGTGTGATGGGCCTGCGGGTGCTGATGTGGAACAGCTGTGTGTCTCTGGTTCCCGACACCCTGGTTTTGCCAATTTCACCTTCTCACCATGACAGGATAGTCAGGGAGCTACAAATCCCACCATCTGTCCACAGTCGATTTTGCAACTGGCTTTGTGGGCACAGCTCCTCCTGGACTCCACAGCTGTCCTGCACCCACTGCTGTCAGGCTTCGTCCTGCCGCTGTTCACTTGCAAACCACTGGCGCCCACCCAGTTGCAGGTCCAGTCATGGAAGAATGGACGGACTGGAGAAGACAGATCAAGATATGCAGGAGGACCTCAAAGATGCAGACATTAGAAAAAGTGACCCTGAGGTGTCCAGCTCCTCCTCTTCATCTCTTTCTGAGGATGACACCAGAGCAACACTGCCTCCTGCGGTGAAGCTGAGGCGTAAACGACGTCCTCCCTGGAGGTACTGGAGGAGAACTGGGGCAGAGCCTCAGCACAGACAGCCAGGTAAGAGAAACAGGAACTGACCAAACTGATCACTTGTGCCCTCAGAGAATTTGATCTGATCTGATTTCATAACTTGACAAACTAATGTTTTGTCTTTTCATGTGACAAAAATCACTAAAGTGTCCATAAAAAAAATTGTTAACCATAAACAAACAAAAAAAGAAAAAAAAAACACAAATGCTGAGGAAGGCGGTACCACTCTTCTAGAGCAGAGAAAGCTACAGGTTCAGTTTTTCACAGTTTCAGATCTTTAATGTAATGAAGGTTTTATGTAAATCTCTCTTTAGGGATACAGGAAAAGCAAATGGTAATTTTGATAAAAGGGAATAGCAATAAGAGAAAATGGACTTAAGAGTTCAGATTTGTAATTTATATCCATCTGTGTGGCAAAGCATGTTGACGCAGTAAAAAGGCAGTTGGACATACTTTACCACTAAAAGTGCTTGTTTTGGATCACACCTGTCCGGTTAATGCCAGTACATTATACTGTAAATTCATCCCTTATTTATGCATGTAAGCATTTAGCTGGTTAAGAACATTTTTGTTGCTAACAAGATAAAACAACCCTGCAAACTCAATGCTAGATGCCCTGTTGTCTTTGCTGTAATTTAACAAACGCCAAGCAAAGACCTTTTACCATAATACTGAGGAACACTCACCACACCACATGGGCAATCAGGATTTTTATGTCATGGTTATATTTGGAATAAAATTTAGTGAGAGATCTTGTGATTGAGCTGGGCTGCACTTTAGTTTTCCTACAAATGTGCATATGGCAAATCTGTGACTGTGTATGGTTACCATTTCTAGTATTTTGAATTTCATTTAACCTGCAGAAGATCTGTTTGTGCTTAATGATTTTACTTTTATCGCCAGGGAGTGTTGTGCCCAGGACACCACAACCCGTGAGACTCTGCTTCCCTGTCCCGCAGATCAGCATCTCGCCAAATCACAGCTCTCTGTTTCAGACACTTCCTGGTGCTAAAGGAAGACAAGCAAACAGAGAAGTTTTAGCAATGACAGACTTCAAACCTCAGCCACCTGTGGGACCTCAGCCTTTTCCTGGAGACTATGCTCCTGTTTACACATAACATGTCACTGTAACAAATACAAAGTTTAAAATAGCACTTTATTTTAATACACTGATGTGGTATTAGTGCACATAAAACACTGCTAAATGCTACTATTTTAATTTAAGTGCAATTTACGTAGTAAAATACTCAAAAATGCAATAAAATATGGCTTCTCATTGTGCAGCAAATAAAAAAATAAATGTAAATCAGATTAAGACAAGAAAAACACAGAGCATTAGCATTGGTCAGCTTTGTTTCTGAGGGTTAAGGGTGGGGCGTCAGAGGTTAAAGGTGAGGTTGATGCTCTCTCCAGCTTTGACACTAACCAACTGAGTCTGCCGCTGTGACTCGGGCATGCTGGCAGTGATGGCGTATATTCCAGGTGAAACCTCAATGTAAAAATCTTCTCCTGCTGCCGACACACAACCCTGAAGACAACGACACTTGAATTTTAAAATTTAGCTCCCGGCTGTTAAAAGGTACACTTAATCGTGTGGATGCATTACTGCATTCACAGTATGTTATCCTAATCTTTATCACTGTGTGGATGCTTAAGCATACACACTATTATCCTGGCATTTATTTATTGTGCGGATGCCGAGTCAGCAGCCACACTCTTGTTATCCTGTTCTTTATTGTGGATGCTGTAAAGCATCCACAATAAAGAGCGAGGAAAGTTGGGGGACTGGACACCGAGAAGACGACCCAGTCCTCCAAGCAACGGTGTGGAGTAGTTGGCTTCCACATTTTCTTTGATCTGCTCAAGGTTCAACTGAAACTCCATCTCCTCCTCAAGAACACTGGTTGGAAAAAAGTAGAGAATCAACCAAGTGGTGGGCAGAGTATTCAAGAATGATCTGTCAGGTAATGAAAACCTAATGAACCTGATATCCAGTGCTGAGCCCATGACTTTGACGCTTCTTTCACAACAGAGCCAGGCTTGCTGGAGCTTCGTTCTGGTTGTGGCCAATAGTTTAGACTCTGCTGAGGCCAATTTTGATAAAGGCCCTAATCTGATGGCGATGGATGACCTCCGTCCATCTCATGAGAAGGCCTGGAAAGAGCTGTGGCTGCAGAGCAAGGTGGAGGTGGTAGGGTCAGAAACCCTCTGCAAGGCTGTGATTGGCTGCCTGTTCTACCTCCTCAGTGCCTTCCCCTCCATACATGACACCTCCAGCTTGTTTGGTGGAGTCAGCCTAGGCAGTCTATTTAATGGTGGGGATGGTCAGGACTGCTGGGGCCACATTTTCTGAGACCAGGCGAGTATGGTGGCAGTTGATGGTGAGCTATGTTATTTACATTGTTGATTATATAATGTGGCTCACAATGACCCTGCCCTCTTGCGACAGGACATCTGGATGTATCCTGGGATAGCCCTGTTCTACCCAAAGCTAGAGTACAGGGTGGGGACTATAGCTGGCACAAAAGACAATGCCCAAAGGCAGGGCTGCAAGGTATGATGATTAGTGGGATAGTTGGGGTTTCACTGTCCTAACCCCCCCCCAAAAAAAGCATTTAACAGCTTGGCTCACTGTT